AAAAAAGTTGATCAAAAGTAAAAAAAAAATATAATTTGGATATATTTATTTTTATGCTAATTTCTTTTATAATTAAATAATTATTTATATAAATATATATTAAGATTAGAGTTGAAATTTAAGTTAGATAAATTGCGGATAGCCGCAATCCTCTTGTATTTTTTTTACATCTATGAAATTTCTCATGTTTGTGAATTTTTTTATTAAAACTTTTTTACTTAAAATCCATATTTTATTATACGATCATTGTATTTATCATTATCGTATAACACGTATTATACTCAAACCATTTAATTCAATCTAAATCTAAAATAGGACACCAATGATACCATTAAGATCATATTACCAACGGATTGCTATAAAAATTATTTGTAATAACAATATTTTATTTAACAAGTGAAATTAAATTAATATAAAAAGATTGAATAACAAAAATCCAAACATAAAGGACGAAGTTGTTAGGAAGACTCGAAAAATCAAATCTTACCGTAATCAAATGAATCAGCTTAATTATTATCTCTTTCATAAATTATCGTTTTGGTTATAAAACAATTGATTAATTGTTACAATTAGATCAATTCAACCACTTAATTTAAAACAGAATAAATTTAAATTCAAAAGAAGTTAATTTGAATTACTATTTAACTGAGAGAGAAAACGTAGGCATGCAGTCAAATTGAACCTAGCCGACATTAGGGTGATAAGAAAGGTTACCCGATCAACCGCACCGAATCTTATAAAGTGTCTATATGTGGCTTAAACTTGTCCAAGTCAGACCCATTTTTTTACTTTCACCTGACCACCGCTTCCTCCGGTCACGTCCTCCTCCCCAATATGGTAATATTCCCCTCTTCCACCGCCTCCTCCCGGTCACTGTCCAACTCTAGTTTAAAGTAATTTGAATTCATTGACGAAGATATGACATAATTAAGCACTTTAATGTCATGCTAAATATCATTTTTGTTCTGTTTGAGTCACTCGATTATTATCTTTTTAAAATTATATTTAACATTACATTTTATTTTATTTTTGTCACCTTCCTTTAAAAGTTTAACATTTTTAAAAAAAATTCAACGATGATGTGAATTATCTTATAGAGACACGTTAGTATCACCATTAATTTTTTAATATTGAGTGATCAAAATGAAATAAAATATTACTTTAGATATGGTTTTAAGACAAAAAAATAGTGTGTGACCAAAAACGAAACAAACGTGATAATTGAGGTACTAAACGTGTAGTTTACCCTGACATTCAATATATTTTTATAAACCCTAATGTTTACAATATTAGTAAGCCATTAATTGGATTCATCGTCTATTAATTAAAGGTCGATTTAATTAAAAATTATTAAAATGTTTTCCATTTAAACAATTATTAATAATATTATTGTATTTTCATATTTATAATTAAAATATAACTACATTGAAATATTATGCTTATAACTTCAAAAACATATACATAATTAATATTATTTTAATTTTAAAATATATTTTTTATAACGTATTTAATATTGGTTGAATTCTTACCTACCACTTCATTCATTTCCCGGTTCGGTTCTCCCCGAGGATGACATGAAAGCGATTATAGCCGTGGATCTTTAGAGGGAAGGAAAGTTGAACCGTTGGTTTATAGATTTTTCAATTGAAATGATTCTTCAATGTAGTTTATTAGCTTCGATTCTTAACAGACTCGGAAATTATTTTCACGCACCGGTATTGGCGATTGGCAACACTCGACATAGCTATTTTCTCTTCTTTTTTTTTTTTTTTTGCATAAATAAATGAGGCCGAAGTCAATACATCAATTTTCATGTATGTTCATATTATCTGTTTGTACTATAATACTTTTAAAGTCATTGATTAGGAGAATTTCAAACCTCATATGTTCTCTAATATTCTGCACGATTAACTGAAGATATATTAAGATGTTTGTTAAAAGTCAAAATAAAGTTACTTATATAATATTTAAATATATCATTCTCAGTATCAATACGTGAGACTCGAAAAATGGCTCCATCATTGTTTAATCATATACAATCAGAAGAAAAGGGTTGCCATTGAATAAATTCATCATACACTGTCGTAGGAACATCCATAGTTACCCGTGGAGCATAGTATTGCTGGCCTAGGAGATACTCAATCGCAATTCTTTTTATGGTAGAGGGACTAAAATGCACTTTCAGGTATAGTACATGTATTTGTAGTAGAGTTTAACCTTCGATTTTATAATCATTATTATTATTATTTTAATTTTAGTTTTCCACATATTCACGCTCTGTGACATAGCGCGTATGTAAAGGAAGTGCGAAGTTAAACTGCTTATGCAAGAAAGGCCTTCCTTTTAAGAACACGTGCTGGATTATGGTTGGTGCATCCAGAAAGTGTTACCTTCGAAGGTGTCATTATCAAGCCCCCATTTTCCTAACCCTTCCAAGTTAAAGAGCTCACACTTTACTTGAAATACGTTCCACCTTTTCTTTTTTATTAATTAGCTTTATTAATTAAATTCCTAATAACAAATAGGGTACACTTTGCATTTAGTACCTAAACTATTATTTTTATCCGTTTTAATACTTAAACTTTCAATTTTATCAAAATCATACCCAATATTTAGTTTTCATTTCATTTTAGTACTTGTCGTTAAAAGCTTAATGCGTTTAGTACCTAAACTATTAGTTATGGTCAATTTTAATACCTAAACTTTTAATCTTTTCAAAACTTAACGTTAAATTTTGAACGGGATACTAAAATAAAATAAAAATTAATTTTTTAACGGCGTGATAATAAAATGAAACGAAAACTGAAATTTAAGTATAAAATGGTTGTCCCTTGTTTCCATATGTAATGGGGTAAGGGGATGTAAGATAGTAGGCTGCCCCCAACACTAGGTTGAGAGCAGCTTCCGTAGGAGACCTCCAAATTATGAAATGCCCTCCATGGGACTCGATCTCACGACCTCAAGGATAAAAATTTGAAATGACTAATAATTTAGGTACTATATGTGTAATCTACCCTAATAAATAAACTCAGTGCCAACGACAAAACTGCCAAAATCAAGTTGGTTTTTTTTTTTTACTTTAGTGAATTTTAAAAAGGAATTAGACGTCTTTTATTAATAAATAAAGTAAACTATAAATTTCATCATTTAACTTTCTTCTCATTTTTATTTTGGCCACTTAACAAATAAATATTTATTGAGGCCATGAATATATATTTTTCTTTTAAAAATCATGAAATGACTCTAAAACTTTTTTTTAAAATCCTTTGATTTCATGTTCTATTTGATTTTTCAATGACGAAACATCTTCTTTCAAATCTCAATATTAGAAAGATAGAGAAGGAGGAAGCGACCTATATTTTGATTTCACGCTAATGATGGTGGATATAGTATATCATAATGGATTAAGATTTTATGGGCTTTGGTTTTTTGGTTGAATTTCATGGATTTTAAAGTGATTTTGAAAAAAAAAATATAGATACAATTATATGACATAATGAGACGAGTTTGTCGGTAATTTAAATGGTCGAAGAAGATGTTGTAGAATGGCGATTTCAATTTCATATGGAAATATGAAAAAGATAAATTTGACATGGGGCATGTGAATTTTATATAAAAAAACCACTCTACATCAACACATGCAGTGTCATGTCATTCTACCATTTACGATTCAAAGTCCGAGTGATCAAAATATGAGCAAATTGAAAGTTTAGCGTGTAAATTAAAAAAACTTTAACAACCAAAATAGAATTGAAAAGAAAATTAAGTGATGAATTATATAATTTACCCTAGTAAATATTAATTTTCGTATTACTTACAAGAGAAACAAATAACATAAATTTAAGATGTATGCTTTCTAGATAACCAAAAAAATCCGGAAAGAAAAAATTCATTATAATATTAAGAAAGCTTTTATGGTAACATTTTTTTCGACAAAGATTTTCACTTAATAGTTAATACGAAAAATATTTCGTCATTTTAAGTTTAAATATGAACAACACCATAAATCTATAGTAATTTATTATGATATATTTTAATTTTAGTTTATCTGTTATGTTACAATTTGAGTTCTACTCCTGTTATTTCAATTGAACATAATTAAATATATTATTTTGATAATATTATTAAAAAAACAAATTTATAACCCTTATTTTCATTAAGGTGATTATATAGAATTTTTTTATCAATATTCACATCACACAATCAAAGACATGTAAAAATTAAATTGATCATATTCAATCAATGATAAATTTATTTATCAATAGGATGTTTAAAGTTGTTTATGAAAAAGAACAATTCTATCCCTTTAACAATAACAATTAGCTGTGTTATTAATTCGAATATACTTATAATATTACAAAAGTAAATTGATATACCTCAAATGCTAGCATTATGGAGGGACTAAAGCCATAGTTGGACCATGGATTTAATTAACAACAAAATTTAATAGGGTAAAGTATACAAATGGTCTCCCGATTATAGGTATTGATTTGTTGAATCCTCAGACTATCAAAAGTTATAAAATGGTCCCCGAATATAGGATGTTGCTTTGTTGAGTTCATCGACTATTAAAAGTTACAAAATGGTGTCCTGACTATTCATTATGTTTTAAATTTATCATTTTTCGTTAAAAATTGACGATAACCTAAACTGGATGTTAATATGCTTTCCGAGATATGATAAAATCTGATCTCATAATCTCAAACGATTATAATAGACAACAAATTAACATTAACCTCATACTATCGTTAATTTTTGACAGAAAATGGTGAGTTTGGAACATAAAGAATAGTCACGTGACCATTTTATAACTTTTAATAGTCAATGGACTTAATAAAACAACATCTTATAATTGAGAGATCATTTTATAACTTTTAATAATTAAAATACTTAATAAAATAATATCTTATAGTCGGGAGATCATTTGTGTATTTAACCCAATTTAATAATAGATTTATTATTTTGCCCTTTATTTGGCGCGTATATAAACAAACCCATAAAGAAGAAAGGGGAGAGAGAAGATCAACCAAACGGCAAATGACTTTGAGAAACTGAAGCAGAAAGAGAGAGAGAAAGTAAAGAAAAGAGACAGAGAGAGAAAAACCAAACAAAACCCAAAAAAACCAACAGACAGAACAGCGTGTTTTCTCGGTTGAGTGTAAGAAACAAGAGAGTTTTTTTTTTCTCACTGGTTATTTGTTGTGGTTTTTTTTTCTTCCTTTTCTCTCTGGAAGAAGAAGAAGACGTAAACACCCATTTGATCGGATTGCAACTTAGGCTATTTGGGGAGGTTGTTTGTACGACGTTGAATGGAGCGGGACCTAGAGTCCGATCCGCAACCGGAATGGACAGCTCCGGGACCCGAAACGGGGCTCGAAGGTAAATAGACAACTCTTTTTAACCTTTTTTTGTTTTCGTTTTGGGATTTCTTTTTTGTGTAATGTCGGATGTGATACGAGGTTTTTGTTTGAAATGCAGAACCGGCTTGGCGTCTGGGATTAGGGGATGAGCCGGAATCTTACCCGGAGAGACCCAATGAAGCTGATTGTATATACTATTTGAGGACTGGTTTTTGTGGATACGGCTCCAGGTGTCGGTTCAATCATCCACGTGACCGTACACCGGTAAATAATTCATAAATTTGATTGAATTGTTCATTTGTTTTGATCTGGTTCGAAGTTTTATTGAATGGTTTTTGGTTGTTTTTGTTTGACTATGGTCTGTGGAGTGATGGGGTATCGAATCAATGGGTGAAAATGGGAAGTTTTTGGTTAATGCATTAAGATCTAGTGTAAACTGGTAATGTTAGAAACATTTGATTCTCATTTGTTTTGATTGATGACGATGATTGGTTTAGGTTGTGGGAGCTGGAAGAGGTAATGCAGGGGAGTATCCGGAGAGAGTGGGCCAGCCGGTTTGTCAGGTACTTTTGATTTAGATTGTCTTAAATATTTGATAAATTCGAGGTATATATGCTGATGTGCTACAATTTCAATAATGTGCATTGGTAAATTCTCTGTAGGTAAGGATGACTTTATGTCATTTCATTTTAAGTTTAAAGAATAGAGTTACATCTTGCTTTTTAGTGAATAGATTGCATTTGGTTTGACAATTTAGCAAAATGCTAAATAGTATGTTACTTATTTACGATGATTACTGTTTCGCTTTTATTGATTTGCAGTATTATATGAGGAAGGGGACCTGCAAATTTGGTTCTTCCTGTAAATACCATCATCCTAAGCAGGGAGGTGGTTCTATTAGCCCTGTGCCACTAAATTATTTTGGATATCCATTACGCCCGGTTTGTACCACTTGACATAAGATCTTTTGCATACGTGTATTTTTAAATGCGCTTAATAACTGAACTGCACTTTGAAACAGGGTGAAAAGGAGTGTTCGTACTTTGTGAAAACGGGGCAGTGTAAATTCGGCACAACATGTAAATTCCATCATCCCGCACCACCTGCTGTAGAGGTTCCTGCAGCATCTCCAGCTCCTCAAGTTGCACCTTTGCCTACTCCAGTTCCTGCACCTACATTATATCCCCAGGTGCAGTCACCATCAGGTCCTTCCTCACAACAATATGGAGTTGTAATGGCGAGGCCTCCCCTGATGCCGGGCTCGTATGTGCAAGGCCCCTATGGTCCTTTGCTTCTTTCCCCGGGCATGTTTTCTGTTGCGAGTTGGAATCCCTATGCGGTAGGTAAATTAAAATTTTATTCAGTCTCCTCAGCTGTGAGTAATCTTCATTAGTTTTTATTCATGAGGTTGTTAATGCACCTGATGCAGCCACCTGTTAGTCCCAGTACTCAATCCATTGCTGGATCGAGCTCAGTTTTTGGAGTAACACCGTTATCTCCTTCAGCACCTGCCTATACTCGATCTTATCAACATGTACCTCCTGGTTCTGTGTCTTCGAGTAGCATTCATCAGGAGCAGTCATTTCCCGAGAGACCTGGCCAACCAGAATGTCAGTATTATATGAAAACAGGTGATTGTAAATACGGATCCTCCTGTAGATATCATCATCCAAAAGAAGTGCTTGCACCAAAAGCTGATGTCATCCTCAGCCCTCTTGGTCTTCCTCTTCGTCCAGTAAGAATTTGTAAAATGCCATATAAATTTGATGCTGTTTACAAGGTTGGGTTTTACAATTTTAATCATGTTTAATGCTTAGTAGTGGTTAGCATGAATAACTATTATCGTTGCTCTGTTTCTTGATGAAACTCAGCTTGCAATAAACCACAAAAGTTAAATGAAGGAAACCATCATGAAATTGTTATGATTGAGTTGTTTTATTTATTTATTCGTGCTCCATATCCCTGTATACTTTTTTTTTGTGGTCGGGTGTTCAGGTCGAGGTGTATCAGTATCACCTGTCTTTCTTGATGTCATTCTGCCTAAGTTTCTAACAACCAGTTAATTTCTAAGGTTTTGATGTATTTGATGAGAGTCTTTGAAGGATTATATCCTTGTGCCCATTTCCGGCATATCAGACATGAGTACCTAATTGGAGCAACATAGGTTTAATATTTAGGCTTGCTATCTCCTTTGTTACATGAATGACTGACATTGTTTTATTCTCTGGCTTTTGGTACATTAGCCATGCAACATATATTTATGATACGACCTATTGTGTAATATGCACTCTTTTATATTCTCCACAAACAATTTTCAAGAGCATGAAGGAGCAAGGTAAGTTGAGTAATCGTTGAGCAGTTGGACTTTAGTTTTATACCTGTGGAAACGCATAGTCTTTTAGGACAATTGGAGAATTTTCACCTGGACTCTTGTTTCTCTTTAAGCTGTTAATATATTTACTTGTGTTTTTGGTAATGTCATCAGGGTGCACCTCTTTGCATTCATTATTCACAACATGGAGCATGCAAGTTCGGAGCTGCTTGCAAATTTGATCATCCTATGGGAACGCTAAATTACAGTCCGTCTGCCTCTTCCCTTACCGATATGCCTGTTGCACCCTATCCTGTTGGATCTACTATTGGCACTCTAGCTCCATCATCCTCATCTTCGGACTTACGACGAGAACTTCAGTCCGGGTCCAGCAAGGACCCTGCTCCAGCCATAATGTCATCATCAGTGAGTTCATCGAGTGAATCAGTCGGTTCTGTTTTTTCTAAAGGTGGGCCAGCTCCTCAGTCAAGCACACATCAATCAAGTCAGAATTCTGCCCCTTCTACCAGCACCACCACCACCACCAAGGCACACACTTCCATCTAAGAAAATGGAAGCAACTGCCTTTATCCCCCTTTTTTTGATGAAGGTCATGAACGGAAACATAAATTTTTTGTGTGTGCAAGCCTTCAAAAGTAGGAGGCTTCATTTCTTGGTTATCATGGTTCCACGATTAAGGTCTAGTGCATAGCATCTGTATTCATATAATCATCATAGGGCCATCTCTTCCATCTCGAATAAAACCGATGGCCTAAACCTAAAACTTTTAGCATACCCCCATACACCTAGCTTTTGAATAACCACGAAAGAACCTGCAGTTGTGTTAGGGAGAACCGTGTCATCCCCGTCCAATTTTTGGAGTCCAAATCATGCATCTGATCTTTTTCTTGAAAACGAAAAGATCGACCTCGCAACATTCTTCCCTTTAAATCAACTGTGTTTTCATGTCCATGATTTTATTTTGAATTGGGGAACAAATTTCCAATTCAACCTAGAAGAGGAACTTGAAGGTGTTCTTGATCCCCCACATTTTTTTAATGAGGGGTTGTTGTGAAGGATATAAGTAATTTAAGGAAAACTCTGCTGGATGCATCAAAATGTGACATATATATATATGGGGATCAGATTATACATATAATTATGTTGTGACAATGGAAATGCTTGACTGTGTTGGATAAATTTATTGTGATATTGGAATGCATGAGAATTACTCTCCACTGTATTAAATGTTCATCATCGTGCCTGAAGCACCCCAAAGTTACAGGGTTATTTTATTAGACAGCGATGTCTAATGCTCCTAGGTATTCTCCATCTACCTATGTGGGTTGGGTTGAGTATTTTGTTGAAGATGGTTCGGGCTTTGATAGTGCCTTGTATTCGAGCCCTATTCTGGGCACTTTTCTATTTTTTTAATGAGGGGTCCAATCGAAAATATTATATTAGGATAGTTTTGGGATTCACAATTGAAAGAGCAATACAATTTACAATAATTTTGATTGCAACAAAAAAATATTATGGAGAAGACAACATTTTTTATTCAACCTAAAATATTATCCGTCTAACCTAAAAAGTTATGCCATTAATAACATTTTTGGTTGTAATAGATTTTTATCGTATTTTGACTTTATATTAACATGTATTTTAGACTATCTCTTGTTATGAAGAATAGAAATGCTGAAACATTTCAGACAAGACGCCTGATATTCAAACATTAAGGCACAGTACCTAATGTAACAAATTAAGGTAACATCTCCAAACATATTAATGGTGAATGAACCCCGTACATGCATTTTAGTGCAAGATCTGGGTTCAAAAAGTAGACAATATAATATCATGGCCATATAATACGACAAGACCCGTTATAAAAATGCAGCAGAGAGAACTCTTTATCATGTTTGTCTGAAAATGAAAGAAAGCTGCATTTTTCAAATCTAAACTTCCATTCAATTTGGCAAAGGCAAAGCAGGAGAAAGCATATTAATTCCCCGTACCTTAAAACGAGGAAACCTAAAAACCAAAACATAGATTAGCCATTTCCCTTGCTGATAATACTACATCAGACAAGTGAATACCCCGAGTCGAAAACATCACAGAAACTCGGCATCATGGTGTAGGTGCTTGGATCGTCATTGGGAGTATAAAAAGCTCCCGTGCACTCATCTTGAACCATCAATGGAGGATGATTGAAAATAGGCGGGAGTTGATTGGAACTCGTAAAACCAGGGAACTCAATCTCATTGGACTTGGGCAGGGGCAAGTCCTCAAAGCTACCACAATGAGATTGGTTGGAGTTTTGATCCATGGAGGGAGGATTCAAGCAGTTATAAGGAACAATGCAGGCCAAGTAACCCGAGTTATCATCAGCACTGCTGCTAGTGAGAAACAAGGCATTGTTTTCTGGTTCAGTGGGGGTTTCAGAAATGCGAGGCCGAGGTTGTTCAAAGTTATTATTTGTTGGTAGCAAAACGGATTGGAGATGGGAAGGGGACATGTACACAAAGTTGGTCGTGGCTTGAGTCCCTTTGATGGAGATGGCAGCTCGATCATAAGCAATAGCGGCTTCTTCAGCCGTGTCGAAAGTGCCGAGCCAATGCCTTTCCTTGGTGGTGGGGTCCCTGATTTCAGCAGCGTATCGACCCCATGGCCGGCGTCTGACGCCCAGAAACCTCCCCGGCTCATTTGATTTCCTCCGGCCTCGCCTTTCGTTACACTTTTTCCTTTGAAGCATCATGACAGGTTGATGATGAGTTTGAACACCATAAGCATTATCCATGGTTTACATATGGAAATTTGTGAGAGAAGAGATGGAATTTGTTGTGAGCAAGTGTTTGTTAAGAGGTGAGGGTAAGTGTATATATAGGAGAGTGATTGAACAAGATGGAAAGGGACACTGTGCCTGTGCCTCATTCCCTAGAAAAACCAACCTACCCTCTTCTATGTCATATCCCACCCCAAAATAATATAATTCAATTATGATAAAAAAAAGCACAATATAAATAAAAACTTGTTACAGTACAATATAGATGTAAATAATATATATTTATAAAATTATTTAGTAAATTTATTATAAAATGATTATTATATTATTTATTATTATATGAGATTATAAATTTTTTAATTTTTATTGAATTAAATTTTAATTAATTTCTATAATCAATTCATTTTTAAATTTAATTAATAATAAAAATATTAAAAAATCGTACTGATAAATATTGGGTTTAGTGACCAAATTTGTTGTGAAGTTTTAAATTTTCTTGTGAGACATATGTTCAATTTTTATTCGTATAAAATCCTCTCTCTCGTCCAATTGAATTGAAGTAATGATAATTTTTTTAAATATTTGATTAAATAATATTTTATTTTTGAATATTTTAACCATTAATATTTTTGTAAAGATCCTTCATAAAAAATATTATTCAACTAATGGTTAATGCTCTACAATAGAGGTTTTTGTCCTAAAATAAAATGTTGAGACTAAAATGCTCCATAAAAAAATAAAAGTTAAAATAATTTATTAGTCAGACAATAGAGACATTTTTGCCTTAAAATAAAATGTTAAGAGGCCAAAATACTCTACAAAAATCAACCAGAATGATCATTCAAATATTTATTTGAGACATTTCTTTGAAATTATACCAAAATTAAGAGTGTATTTAGTTAATATATATCATTCAATTATAAAATCAGTTAACAAGTAAAATAAAAAAAGAGTTTTATGAAAGGATATGCATAGTTATTAAGCTATTATTTAAGATAGATAGATATATATATATATGGTACCATTTTTTTTATTTAGTGGTTTTGTTTATACGTTTTGATGGTTTTAGAAAAAAAAATGTTTGATTGATGTGATTATTTTAGTTTAATCTTTATAGATTTTTCCTTTTATGATGGTGATTTTTCTATATTTTCAATTTATTAATAAAATTAGCATCTTTTATTAGTTCAAAAAATAGTTATATATTAATAGGTTGGTATAAGTGGTAAACTAATATTTATCAAAATTAGGTGTGCGACATGAATCTATCTCAATTAATTAATATGAAACCTTAAAACTGGGAGGATAAAAAATTGTTTTGTTTTTCAGCTCTAATTATTTTATGGTTTAACTACATCCAATGCCCTTATATTATTTTTTACAATTTAATATTTAATCCTTTATTTTATTTTTTACACAATTGAATTTCTATATATTATTGAGACTTTCAAATTCTTCATACTCAAATAAATAATTCACGACAATAAAAAAAAATTCTTTCAAAATCTTTTAATTATTGTCTTAAAGTCTCGTTTGAATCAAAATCATAGAAAATAGATCGTGTGTATCATTTATAATGATGCAAATATGATAAAGTCACGTGTAACCGCGTATTTAGCTGCCTAATCTTCCCCCATAAACAAATCTTAATATGCCACCACCGCCCTCCATTCATCATTAACTTGAATCCAAATAATCCTCGTCCCTTTATTTTGTATAAAAAATATTCGATACAAGTTGGGTTAAATTTAGTCTATATAATTTTATTTTAATATAATTTGTTTTAGTTAAAATTTAACATTAAAATAGACGGGGTTGTATAAATTAAATTTAGGAGGTAATGTCCTCTTTTGGCATTACATCAAGATAAACATAGTTGCTTATAAGACAATAGATTGTACCACGACATAATAACAATATCATTTTTTTATATTTTTATTATTATTAATTGTGATCGTTAATACTAACTATGTCGTTTTGCAATAATATCCTTTTTAACAATTTAAAAACAAGTTCTTTACCATTATAAAATAAAATTGGATGATCGAATTAATTTAAACCATGTTTTTTAAAAGAAAAAATCAAGATGACTTCGTATATGTAAATAACTGTCAACAACTGCAAGCTTGAAGAGGTTGCTAATGATTTAAAATTATTCTTTTGGGGGGGGGGGGGTGTTGCTTTTAACTTTCAAAGTATGATCCTAATATTTTCTTTTGAGTTTGAATAAACTAATGAGTGATACTAACTTAAATTTGTATGTGGGTCATGGGACATGGACCCATGATAATATATAATTGATGAAATTTGAATTAGTTGATGAGATTTATGATATGAAACTTTATTTTCTTTAATTATTACTTGTTTTTTTTAATTTAATTAATTAATTAATTTTATATATTTATAATTGTAAATTAATCATGTGAATAAAAGATATATCTAGAGATATATGTTACCATAAATAGAATGATATCACATATATATTTATATATATATATTTTTTGGTTGCCCTCCAGTTCCCAGGTTTTGTCCTGATTAATCTAGATTGATCTGGGTCACACATCTGAGAAATTTTCTGCATATACAAGGACTCGAACATGAGATATTGCTTAAACGATATTAAATTGCTTATCACTTAAACCAATTTCGTTGGTAATAATATCATGTATCTAAATGTTTAGAGATTAATTTCAAATATAATATAAGAATTTTATGTGAAATGCATATGTATTTTATACATTTTCTAATATTATACGTATGTGTATGCATATTAATATATTTTTTAAAATTCACTATAAAAAGTAAATGAAACTGAGATTTGAAAATATTATGCCACGTGACCCGGTGAGGCAAACCAAACCCTGAATCTGCAAGAGTGAGATGGGAGTTTACAGACGTCAGCACTGTTACCACACCATCCCGTTCACAACTCCTCAGAACACCGTGCGATGACGTGTCGATCGCAAAGTGGCGTCCTTTACATAAGATGAGGTGTCGAACGGGGACACGACCCGTTTCTGAAACAGTAGAGACGTAACGTGATGGATACGAGGTTAATGGAGGGTGGAGATTTGTTCAAAAGTGTCGTTGAGATTTTATGCAGAAACTGATTTTGACAACCTCGATTTAGGGCAAGTTTTGCTATATACAACTGTAACGACACAAAATCAACGTATAAAAAAAGGTGATAAAAAAACGTAATATTTTTAATTGGATGTAACATAAAATATTATTTTTTAATAATTTTAGTTATAAAAATATAATAATTTTTTTGTTAATTAAAAATGTTATGAAAAAAATATTAAGAAAATTAACATTTTAAGTTAATCTAAAAATTATGAATTTTCTCATATTTTGGGTTACATTTATTTGTCGTCATTTCTTTGATGTTATTCTTTCTTTCCTTTGACTTAGGCTCACACCTTATCTTCTTTCTTCCATATTCAGGGATGTTTAATTAA